ATATGACTGCTAGAGAGCAGGAAGTCCTGTCTAGATACTCCCATTTGGGGAAAAGGAACATAAACTAATGAGCCCTCACCTGTCTTTTTGTCCTCCCCACATATATGGGCTCTCTTGCCTTTTCTTGACCCAACAGGAGTTTCCTAGGGCATGCCCTGCGGACACTGCCACTCTGGAACCAAGACAGCCCCTGAGAGGAGGAGGGAGATGTTAAACACCCTTCTAAGCAGCCCAGACCTTGGTGGGGCCTGAACTCAGTTCTTTTCTGTGCACATTTATTGAGCCTGTAGGGGCCAGACACTGGGCCAGGGATTAAGGAGATAGATGTGGTTTCTGCCCACACAAGAGTGAGGCAAAGGTTCCCCAGGAGTCCCCACAAGCCTGGTTGACGTTCCAGTGTGTGTCAGGACAGCCAACCCTGCTGGCTTTTCTGTAGGAGCTCCCTGTCTTCAGGGTGGGGAGTAGATGTACGCATGCACGGGGAGCAGGGTCACCAGCCGTCAGTGTTGTGGTGATGGGGAGTGGGCCAGGAGTCGGCCTGGGGTTGGGCGCACAGAGCTGTGCAGGAGCTGATCAGAGAAGGCTGTCTGGGATAAGTATGTATTTTCATTTCAGGGGCCGCCAGAATAGTATCTTAGAATCACAGGGGGAGGCTATGAGGTTCCAAGGACATGTTCGCTGGCCTCCTCCACAGAGCTTTCCCCTTGGCATTTCCTCAACCTGCTGCTGCTCAGCACAGTAACAAAAGCCGCTGTTTACTGGGCGCTGAGCCAGGCAATGCTCAATGCCTTGCATACCTCTCAATGTTTAGGCCGCACAACAACCCTGGGAAGTGGTGATTATATATCATCACCATTTGATATTACAAATGAGGAGAGTGAGGCTGGGAGAGGTCCCTGGTGGCAGAGATGATAGGAGGCAGGACCAAGATTCAAACCCAAGTCTGTCAGCTGCAGCAGTGTTCTGCTACTGTGGCCTGTGTTCTACAGAGCCAGGGGCCTTGTCCTGGGTTCCCTGGCCTCTGCTGCCCTGGGATCAGTTGGGAGCTGGGCTGGGGGTGGGGAGAAGCTGGGGTGTTAGTGGAGAGGCTGTCTTTGGGCAACACAGGCAGAGCAGTCCACATTGACCTCTTTCTTCTCTGGTAGCCTGCGAGGCTGTCAGGAGCTGTTAGATTAGAGAGAGATGGCTTGGCCTGAGAAGAATTGTGGGACTTCAGGCCTAGGACTCTAGCTGCCCTGGAGATGGCTGGAGATGAAGGGGTGGGTGTTCAAGGTGGAGAGGCTCCCTTTGCTGGAAAATGTCCAAACTGGGGCCGAGGCATTACTGCCTGGTCAGCCTCCCAGCCAAGGCCCACCCCATGCCAGGTGGGAGGCAGAGAGCCACAGAAGGCTGTACATTGGCCCTGAAGATGCTGTGGTCACCCCTGCTTCCCTGTGAAACTCAAGCTGGTTAGAAGTGGGAGGGAGAGCCTCAGAGAATCAGGGAAACCAGGGCTGTGGGCAGAGGCCATGTGCTGCAAAGGAAAGGACACTAGCAGAGTCCCACAGACTTGAACTCCAAGTGCCACTTAGCCACTTACCAGCTGGTGGCCTTAAGCAAATCGCTTAACCTTCATAGCCTCAGTTTCCTCTACTATAAAATAGGAAAGTTTTAAGGATTAAATAGGATAATGATGGTATGAATTAGGCCAGGCACATTGCAAAGAGCTGCTTTATCTCATTTAATTTTCACAGCAGCCCTACGGTGACATGTTATTATTACCTCCATTCTACATAAGAGAACCTTGAGGCTCAGAAAGGTTAAATAACTTGCCCAAGGTGACAGGCCAACTCCTAGAACGAAGTGTGTGACCACAAAGCCGTTCCAAGCCTGTAGATGTAGTTTCTTTCCCTGTCTGCAATGCCCGATGCCAGGGCTGGCTTTGTGTGCTTTGATTTCAGCAGTGGACGGGGAGACGAGAACTGTAGCTCCACCTGGGAGGCCCTGAAGTGGCTCAGTCAAACTCAGTTAGTTCTCCAGGGCTCTTCCATAGCACCTCAACTCTTGACAGCACCTTACAGTTTACAGAGCCTTTTTACCCATATTGTCTAATGGATTGTTCCAATAGCCCTGTTTCCTCCCATTTAACAGATGAGAGAATGGAGGCAAGAGAAACTTAAGGTGAGAAATGGCAAAGTTAACCTTGAACCCATTCCAGTTCACGATAGTTGCCTTCAAAGAAACACACATTATCTAACCCTAATTGTTGTTTTTCACCTCTGTGCGTGTGTGTGTGTTTCTCTTATGCAAAGAGCAGATTTACTTTTTACTTTTTAAAATTTGGTAATACATGATTAAAAAGTCAAAACATTCTGTGCAGAAGAATTCCAGGATTCTTGACTCAACCAGGATAAGCCATGCTCATGATACGTACCCTTGACATGCGGTGATGAGAATAGCACATTCCCACTGTGGTCTTTCTCCTGAAAACCCCTAACCCCAGTCTAATCATGAGAAAAACATTAAAAAATCCTAAATAAGGGACATTCTATAAACTACCTGGCCAGTGCTTCTCAAAACTGTCAAGGTCATCAGAAACAAGGAAAGTCTGAGAAACCGTCATAGTCAAGAGGAACCTATAGAGACATGGCAACTAAACGTAATGTTGTATCCTGGATAGAATTCTGGACAGAAAAAGAACACTAGGTAAAAACTAAGAAAATCTGAAGAGTATGGACTTTATTAATAATCATGTATTAATATTGGTTCATTAATTGTAACAAATGTACTATACACATGCTAATAACAGGAAACTGGGTGTTGGGCATATGGGAGCTCTCTGTACTATCTTCACAACTTTTCTTTTTTTTTTTTCTTTTAAAGATTTTTATTGGGGAATTGGGGGATGGGAACAGTGGTGGGGAACTGGGGGAAGGGGAACAGACAAGTTGCTGTCGTTTTGTTCTTCAGTCTAGTTGTGAGGACGTTGCTTCACTGGCCCAAGTTGGCACCGTCATTGAGCTCTTCCCGGGTGAGGCAGATCAGTCGCCAGCTTCTGGACGGCCGCTCACTGCGGCTGCTGGCCGCTCACACTGGCTGCCGGCCACACACGGTAGCCCATGGCAACCCACTGCCACAGGGGCTGCAGCCTATGCGGTCGCCGGCGACTCACAGCAGCCCAGCTCCAGGCTGAGCTGTTGTTCAACATCTTAGCTGTGGAGGGCAGTGTCACTGGCCCTCATATGTGGGATCCGAACCGGGGCCCTCTGGCGTCCCAAGCCAGTTCTTAACCATCGCGCCACTCAGCCGGCCCCTTCACAACTTTTCTATGAATCTAAAAGTGTTCTAAAAAATAGTTTATTTATTTATTTATTTTTAAAAAGATTTTACTGGGGAATTGGGGAAGGGGAACAGCCAAGTTGTTGTCCTTCAGTCTTAGTTGTGAAGGGCGCAGCTAGCTCAGCTCCAAGTCCAGTCGCCATCCAGCCACCTGTTGGCAGCTCCTGGCCGCTCAGCTCAAGGTGCCGTGTTCAATCTTAGTTGCAGGAGGCGTAGCCCACCATCCCATGCAGGAGTCAAACAGGCAACCTTGTTAGGAGCACGTGCTCTCACCAGCTGAGCCATCCTGCCACCTGCTTGGGCGCAGCTCACTGGCCCATGTGGAAATTGAACTGGCAACCCTGTTGCTCAGAGCTCACGCTCTTAACCAACTGAGCCACTTGGCGGGCCCTATTTTTTTTCCCAAAAGATAGTCCTTGAAAAGTCTCCCTTCCACCCCCATCAGCTGTTCAGCCTTCTGGGGGAAATCCTGGCATGGTTCTTTCCAGGGAGGTTCCATTGAGGCAGCAGGGGTTAGTATTAAGAGTCAGGCCTCCACGACTAGATGGCTGGCTCTCAATCTTGATCTCTGCCAGTTTCTAGCTGTGTGACCCTGGGCAATTCCTTACCCTTTCTGTGCTGTATCCTCAAAGATAAAATCCTCATAGGATAATTGGGAGCGTTAAATGTATTAATGTATACGGTAAGCACTTTATACGTGGTTGCTTTTATTATTACAAATATAGAAGTAAATATATTTATGCCACAAATGTGTTCAGAAAAAATATCCAAAACTTGTAAATAAGACACACACACACAAATTATGAAGTGCCCTTTCAGAGATATTTTGGTGGCTAATAACCCCACCTATGGGTCATCTAGGGGAAATCACTTTGTTTGACATACTATTTACTATTGATTGGGGCCCAGACTCTCTAAAGTTAATAGGTTAACCTGTAGAAGATTGATAAATAGCAAATTATTTTTGTCTGGTAGGGGGGAAAAAAACAGCTATGGTTTTATTACCATGCAAGAGTTAACTTTTGGTGTCAACTTTGCAATCTTATTCCAGCATTCTTTTTTCCACTGACTGTCAATACTGGTTTTCATTTCTTCCTTTGATCCATCCTGCTAGTTCATTCATTCAGTAGTTAAATAAACCTTGGTATTCACTCTGTATTTGTATTAGTCAGGTTTACCTTTGTGCAAATTTTACTTCGACAAATAGTAACATGCCATACACACTGCTCCTCCCCTTGGTCATTTTCACTTAATACATCTTGAAGATAGTTTTTCTATTTTTTTTTTTTTTTTTAG